ATTGGCACTCTCACCGGTGGAGGAGGACAAGGTCGGCACTTGACATCTTCTCTTGCAAATTGCCACGAACAGGTAGGAGTCGTGTTCCCCCCCCCAACGCCATCTTAACCGTCCTCACCAACATTTCTGTCCTTTTTATTTATCCATCTTAAAATCAACCTGCAGCTTCTCTCCCACCCCACAACCAAAAGACACCCCGTTGTGCGCCGTGAGAGCGGCCGCGCCCCTCTCACCACTTGTCTCTATCCATCATCATTCCCACACACCCCCGGTCCTGGACATCTCGGAATAGGGTCAACCTCGACGACACCCTCAAGTGCCGTTGCCAGCACAGCGATGGTCGTCAAGGAATTTCTCGACTCTGATAGAGTCAACTTTCTCGTCTGGAGGTTCGCCATCTCTCTCTCCTTCGCCTTTTCCTCCTGTCCCCCCCTCCTCTCTCATCCGCGCGTGCGCCTCTGTCTTCAATCTCCACTGTTTTTTTTTTCTTTTCTCAGCTGGTTGGCTTCATCATGAGGCCAATCGACTCGAGTGAATTCCGGCCCCTTCCCCCTTCTGTCCTCGAGCGCCCCCGATCGCTGACCATCTCAACCGTAGATATCTACTCGAAGGAAGTAAGTCTAGATTACTGCTACTCACATGAGACCGGGTACAGCTCGCGAAAGCCTTGCGTCGGCCTTCCTCGTGAAGTTCCTACCAGCTCTGACCTTCTTCACCCCGTGTCAGACTACCGCGAAACCGCCGCCAAATTCCAGAAAGAGTGGCATGTAAAGGAGCCGCACCAGGACTTTACCTTTGCACCTTACGTAAAGAGCCATGCTCTCGTCTCCGTTATCAACAGAGGTCTTCTCTACCACGCACTTGAGCGCCAGCGCGTTTCCGACCAGGTTTGTTCAACCCCTGCTGTGAGGGTTCAATGCCCCCCCCCTCCTTCCCCCTTCCCCCAAAAAAACACTGAAAGAGAGGAAGGAGCAAAAACAGGAGAGGGTGCACGGTGACTGACTATTTGCGCGCGCGCGTCAGCAACCCTCCCATGATGCTGAATCACTCCAGTTTGGCATATTTGGGCCTCTAATCTCCCAGCAGCCAGCCAAGGTGGAAGAAGATGGGGCTGCAGCCGCTGCGCAGCCGCGACTACTCCCGCCACCTCCACCAGCAACGCACACTTCCGGGCCGCCGGCACCCCCACCGCTGCCATCGCTCGTGGCATCGGGCGACGAAGGTGAATTTCCGCGAAAGCGTTCGCAGAAGCAGCAGCCAAACGGATCGCCGGGAAAGCGGCCACGACTCAGCAATGGCTACGAGAACGGGACTTCGGAGACAGCCGCGGCCGCTGCTGGGGGCGCCACCACGCCCATGGACCTCGACTCTCACGATCACCAGCACCAGAACCAGGACAACAACCATGCCTACCCTTCCCCGCTGGAGGGCGAAGAAGTCACGACACCAGCCGTGCACACCGAAGGCCCCGAACGGGGAACGCAGCTCGACAAGGTCGACGAGCTGACACCCGACACGACATTTGTGCAGCTGGCCGACTATGCGGCTGCGGCTGCGGCTGCACGCTCACCACGTCCCTCATCCTCGTCGGCAGCCGATGGCAGCAGCAGCAGCAGCACCACCACCATCACCACCACCAATGGCACGGATGCGGCAAACGCCCCAACCCTGCTGCATTGCCAGTGGAACCCCAAGGAGCCGTCGTCATTGGCCGCCTCGGGCACCGGCGCGCTAGCCCGAGTCTGGACCGTCTCGCGTGTTCCCGCGTCCGAGACGGAACCAGCCCACGATCACGTGGCCCCCAGCGCCTTTCCCCTGCTCGACCCCGCCACGCCCGTCAACACGGTTGTGTCGCAGCTGACCTGGGCGTCGGACGGGTCCAACATAGCCCTCGTCGCCGAGCAGGAGGGCCAGTCGCTCATCAGCATCTACTCGGCCGACGGGGCCCTGGTGCAGGCCTTTGACGTGGCCCTCGAGCAGGTCATCAAGCTGTGCTGGAACCCGGCCAACTCGGCCCTCCTGGCCATCTCGCCCTCGTCCGACGACGCCGACCCGCCCGCCACGGTGCTCACCGTCTGCAACGCATTTACTGGAGAGTCGCTGTCATACACGCTTTCCGGGCACGACATGAACACGGGTCCGCCGCTAGACGCTGCCTGGACGGGAGATTCTGAGTTTGTCGTCGCTGGCGGTGACATCCTCGTCAGCCTGTACTGCACGGAATCCGGCATCTTCCTGGGCAAGAGGTTCGAGACGAGACCCGACGACAGCATTCGCAATATCCTGTTTGACCGGCGATCCAAGCTGGCTGCCACGTCGAGCGACAAGGGAACGTTGGATGTAAGTCTCCCCCTCACCCTCCCCCTCTCTGCGGAGCCGACCACCAGCACCTCCGTTTCCTCTTCCCATCTACCTCATCACCACCGCTAGCGATACATGTCACGGCATGGAACTGACGGCGATACCAGCTATGGGACGAGAGCGGGCAGCGCCGATCCATCTCAGCCCACCAAGGCGCCATCACGGCAATGGAATGGCAGCCCCTGCCCAACGATGCCGAGGCAGACAACGAGGAACGCCTGATCGCCACCGGAGGCGAAGACTGCGCCATACTCATCTGGAACGCCCGCATGCCGGAGAGCAAGCCTCGGAGCTTCCTGACCATGGACTCGCCCATTGTCAACCTAGCCTTCACGCCCGACGGGGCATTCATCGCCGGGGCCACGGCCTCGCAGGTCCTCATCTGGAAGGTTGGCAACCCCATCGCCCCGCGGGCGGTGTGGAAGCGTACGGAGCACCCGGGGTGGTTGAGTCCCAAGGTATCCTCGGGAGGTGGCGGTCATGAGGATACGTTGACTTCCGAAGAGGAGGGTTATGCGGAGCATTGTCTTGCCTGGGATGCCTTGGGTCAGAGGTTGGCTTATGGGTCAAATAGCAGGGTGAGTACTCTTCTTCTTCTTCTCTCCTCTCTCCTCTCCGCGTTCTCTTCTCACCCCCCCCCGAGCCCGTTCTCGAACAAGCCACTGACGAATTGCAGCTTGCCGTCATCAACTGGAGCAGATGAGCATATCAAACACCAACACCCCTCCCTCCCCCCCGGCGATTCGACACGTGACATTTGATATTCCATTTGTACATGCACGCATACACATGGCACCTCATTCTCTATTTCGCTTCTTAGAAGGATCTTGTTTGTTAAAAACCTTCCTTTTTCTTTGGATGACGAACCGCACGACAACAATTTTTTTTTTCCACGGAGTTTTTCTACTTCATTTTCGTCTCACTTCTCTTTTTCAAGAATTTTACTATACGGCTTTCTTTACACTGTCCTCTCTCTTTTTTTTGTCCGACACACACATTTCAAACATTGTCTTTTTTTTCCTTTTCTCCCCCCCCACTCATTCCCTCTGCTCTTCTCTTTTTCCTTCATCACTTTTGGGCTGGGGTTCTCACCCATTCTCCTTGCTTTTTGTGTCATATTTCTTATCATTATTATTTCGGGGTTAGGCTATGTCGAATGGGTAGAGCAGGTTTTCTGGAACTTGGTGGGAAACGGGAATGGCATGTTTAGGGGGTCTATTAGAGTACCCTCTACCTTTTTTTTTTTTCTTTTTCTTTTTCCTTTTCTTTTCTTTCCTTTCCTTTTTCTTCTCCTTTGTATGTATGAGTCCGGGGGTTGAGGGGTCTGGTGTCTGTCAATTCTGTATAATAATTTATTGTCTGAAAATAAGTTGAGGGCGATATTTTCTTCCCCCTCCAAAACTTGTTGGAGAAGGTGCATTTGCATGACTGCACACAATCACGCACCTTCCAGTCATGCACCATGTGAATATGTGGGTAAGGAGCTTGAATTAGCCGCCGCAGTTTTGCCGTTGCTGCCTTAGTCACGCCCCACTATTCGCCCTATTCCCCTCTAACCACCCGCTTCGAACGTCAGCCCGAGTCTCACACCATGGATTCACTCTCAATCCAACTTCTCTTTTTTTTTTTTTCACAACCACGAACACTCGGGGTCATTCGAGCAAACAGTATAACGAGGATTTATATATCTGAGACAAGAAGAACAAGCAGGCCTTTCTTTCTTCTTTTTTCCCCCTCTCTCTCTCCCCTTATTCTTATATTTCATCTTTCGTTAGAACCAGATATCTTTTTTCCTTTTTTCCTGTTTTTTCTAAAGAGGTATTATTGATAATGGATACTACCAGAATCATCTCATCAATCTAAGAAAGAGTCTCATCATTCTAATAACAAGAAGAAGAAACGGCCAACACGGGAAGAAGATAAAAGGCAAACATAAGAAAGAAAGAAGAAAGCAAGAAAAAGAAAGAAAAAGATGGCGACTAGGACTCATCAGCCCAAATCAACATATACCTCCCAGGTACCATCCTCTACATTCTCATCCGAGATGAGAGACCGTCAAGCTAGAGGACAAGACCCTTATTCAGAAGAGACAACGACCGGTCAAGGTTCGGGGACAGGATCAGGGACATTGTCGGGTGCAGCGGCGGCCATTGACGATAAGGATGATCAGGGTGATGATGCTGGTTATACCATGCATAGTGTTGAGAGGTTGATGACGGGTAGAGGGTGAGTTTCTTTGGTGTTTTTTTTTTTTTCTCTTTAAAAAATTTCATCATTCTCTCTTTACATTCTCTACTCTTTCATTCTTTATTCTCTATTCTCTCTCTTATTCTTCTATCTCTTCATTCTTGTTTCTTGTTTCATCTTTTTTTCCGTCAACCGTCAACCTCCCCCCCCCCCTCCTTTTCAGAAGAAACATGTACGACTGACACCCAGAGAAAAAAAAAAAAAAGACTACCACGCGAATCATTCGAGGAACGTGAGAAAAAGGACTTTGCCATGGCTGTCCTCGATAATCCAGAGCTGCTACTCATGCACGCCCAGGCACAGGGTGACGTATGGTTTTTTCCTTCACGTTTCTTTTTCTTTTTCTCTTCTCATCCTCTCTTCCACACCTTCCCCCCACTACTCTGCTAACTGGTCAATCGCTCGTTCGCAGTCCGTCGCTGGTCAGAAGTTACGTTTCCTCCGTATGCTCTGTCCCATCGAGCAGGAAAAGGATAGACAAGTTCGCATTCATGGTCGTGGTCAGAGGTGGTGAGACGTTGGGAGTTTTTTTCTTTCCTCCTTATCCTCAAGTCTCTTTTTTTCCCCCTTCATTGTGTGTGAATACTTCATCTTTCTGCACACCAAATTCACGTCACGAATCCTTTTTTTTCTATAAAAAAAGAAACCCTTTTTTTCTTTCAATGGCTTGATGGCAGCATGATTATTCAATGTATACAACTTCTCTCATGCTAACCTCTCTCTCTCTATATATATATAACAATGTTCCCAATGAAACCTCGTAATGTTTTTTTTCTTTTTGCTAAACCGGAAAAGAAAAAAAGAAAGAGAAAAAAAAACGCCCAAAGTATGCTAGGTTGAAACAAGACGGAAAAAAAAAAGCCTCCCGAAAAATGATGAAGCCTAACAGTAATTATATGATCAAAAAAAAAAAAGAAAGACATGTCCAAAACGAGGAATAGTAGAAAGGAGTAACTAAGCATATCTCGTACTTTGGCCGGGCCAGGACTGATCATTAGGAGCAGCGGCGTATCCGTACTGCGGCGGAGCTCCATACTGCGGTGGCGCTCCATACTGCGGCGGCGGCGCTCCGTACTGCGGCGGCTCAGGCACGAAAGACGGCGGCGGCGGACGCGGCGTGTTCCCCGGCACGGCCCCGCCAGACATGTACAGCGGCTCTGCCGAGCCGGGACCCGACATGGCGGCGGCGGCGGCCTTGGCCCTCCGTTTGTTGCGCGACGTCCTCCGGCACCGAGTGTAGATGCAGGACGCCATGGACAGGACCAGCAGGACGGCCAGCACCACTCCGACGGGTATGGCAATCTTCTCGTTCTCGCGGAACCACTGCTCTATGCGGCCCCAGGTCGAGGCCCCCTTGCACTCGCCGTCGTCGCAGTGTCCGTTGCCGCTGCACGGCGTGCCGTCCACCAGGTTCTGGCTGTTGAGCGTGCACTGGTCGGACCCCGAGTCCGGGTTCGAGCACGCCAGCACGCAGAGGTCCGAGGACCCGCACGACGTGATGCTGGTGCTGTTGCCCAGCGAGGCCCGGCACTGCGCGTCGCGCGACGTGCACTTGCCAGAGGCGCAGCGGAGCCCGTCGCCCGAGTCTCCGCACGACGTGCCGTCGTCGCGCTGCTGATCGGCCGGGCAGTCGCCGCTGTCGCCCGAGCACGTCTCCTCCGGGTCGCACTCGCCGCTGCTGGCGCGGCACACCGTCGACGCCGACGCGAACCTGCAGCTGTCGGTGCAGCAGGCCTCGTTGGTCGGGTCGCACTCGGCCTCGCCCTGGTACTTGCACGTCGTCGGGTTGCAGCAGTCGTTTTCGGTGCAGCCGTCGGTGCCGCCGCAGTCGCAGTCCTCGCCCTCCTCGACGATGCCGTTGCCGCACTGCTTGCCCGTGATGGTGCCGACGTTCTGGTTGTCGGTCAGGCACTCGCCGTCGACGTTGGCCGCGAGCCCCGAGCAGATGTTGCCGATGCTGCAGGGGGAGAACTCGTCGATGCCGTCGCCCGTCGACGGGTTCATGATGTACTGGCCGCCGGCGCTGCACGTCGACGAGCTGAGCGGGCAGCACGACTGCGAGTCGGTGCTGACGGGGCAGGCGTCCGTGGTGCAGTCGTGCACGGCGCCGAAGGTGTGGCCCGTCTCGTGCGCGAAGACCTGCCACTCCGACGACGTGCGCACCACCACGTTGGCGGCGGCCACCGTCTCGTTCTCGCCCGAGCTGCCCTGGGCCGACGAGGCGCCCGTGCGGCACAGCTGGCCGCGCCACGCGAGCCCCACGGCCGATCCGGTGTTGCACGTCGTCAGCAGGGTCCAGTACGCGTTGTCGTCCGGGTTGTCCCCCCGCCACCGGGAGAAGAGGTTGAGGCGGTCGTCGATCTCGGTGTCGTCGCTGCAAGCGACGTTCCACGGGGCCGAGTTGGCCGACGACTCGGAGCACGACTGGTCGATCATGGTCAGGTTGCGGATGCCCAGAGAGATCTTAAACGTGTCCTCGTACAGGGCCGAGGCCTGGTTGACGACGCTGATGACGTTCTTGCGCAGGGCCTGGCGGTCGCCGCCGAAGGCGTCCAGGTAGTTGCAGTCGGTGGCGATGCCGACCAGGGCCACCTTGCGCGTCGTCGGGCACCCGGTCGTCGAGCCGATGCTGGGGATCAGGTTGGTGCCGCTGTCGGAGTCGACGCTGTCCATCTGGCGGCCAAGCAGGGAGCGCATGTTCATGGTAGCCAGGGAGGAGGCGGACCGAGCCCTGGGCACGTCGCGGTGCGCGAAGCGGCTGTTGAAGTCGAGCGAGTCGGCGTCGCAGTTGGGCTCGGGGTCGAGGTACCGGCGCCTCAGCTCGGCGGCGCGGTCAAAGGCCGAGGATCCGGGGCGGGCGATGTCCGAATCGCGGTAGACGGCCATGGTGTTGTCGAGGTCGGCGTCGGCCAGGCTGGGGTCCTCTTCGTGCCTCTCGCGCTGGTAGTGGGCGGCGGTGCGGACGTGGTGGGCGTCGCCGTAGATCTTGAAGGCGCCCTCGAAGACGGGCTCGAGGCCGTCGCGGTGGACGGTGATCCTGGCCCAGCCGGCGTCGGCCCAGCCTCCGTGGCCGGGGTGGCGGACCGAGGCACGGCCCTTGAAGACGCGGTGGGCGCTTCGCTGGACGTTGCCGTCCACCTCCTTGACGCGGCCGTCGGCGTCCAGGGTGGTGACGGAGAATTCGTGGTGGAGGATGTCGTGGTTGGGTTCGAGCGTGAGGCGGATGGGGGTCTGGCCGTCGTCGATGGAGAAGGTCAGGTCGAAATGCGAGTGTGCGGTGACACGATGTGCGGGGGCCTTGATGACGGCATCCTGTATGGTCGAGACGTATTCTAGGGGATTTCGTCGAGTCGAGTGGGCTGTTGTCGGGTACGAGTTGCGAGTGTCAGTTTCAGTGGCTCGGAACGGAATGGTCTCTCTGTGTACCATGCTCGTCATCTGAGTGGTATCACGAACCTATTGAAGACTGTACCAATAATGCTGCGCCGGCAAGAGCCGTGGCAACTGTGCGCAACGATACCATTTCCGAGGCCGTCCTAGAAGAAGAAAAAAAAGATGGGAAAGAGGAGGGGGAGAGAGATAGAGAGAGAGAGAGAAGAGAGAGGAGAGAGAGAGAGAGAAGAGAGAGAGGAGGGAGAGGGAGGGAGAGGGAGGGAGAGGGAGGGAGAAGAGAGAGAGAGAGAGTTGATTAAGCCTTGGCCGAAGCCATACAGGCCTGATTTTTCTTCTTTTTTTTTTTCCCGGTCGTCGGTCGAGGAGCGAAAGAGGATGATGAATCTGACTGTATCAGAGAGCGGGCTCCAGAGCCGAGGGAGCAGAAGGTGTGTAGAAGGGGTGTAGCGAGGGAGGATATATTATGAGTGGGTATAGCCTCGGTGAATGATTCTGGTGTAGAGATGGAGGAGGAGGAGACGAGGACGGGAGGATGAGCGAGTGTGTAAGAGAGTTGAGAGAGTAAGAGAGAGTGAGAGAGTGAGAGAGTGAGAGAGCAGAGAAGGGTGGGGGAGAGAGAGAGGATGGAATTGAAGTGGGTGAGAGGTGAGACAGGCGCCGGGAACGTAATACCAAGGGACCTCTCTGTCCCTCTGTCGGTCCATCCGTCCGTATCAGCTACCCCGTATCCGGCCAAGTCAGAGACCCGATATCCTGTACCCTGTACTTGTCTCTCTTCTGCCTCTCTCTCTCTCACACACACACACCAAGCATCTATGGAGAGTCCAGGTCCCATTGGAGAAAGTTGACAGGCCAGTTGGGTGGGTGGGTGGGTGGGTGGGGGGGGGGGGGGGGGGGGGGGGGGGTTGGTTGTCGGATACATATGTGTACGGAGGAGTGTGTGTACCTGTTGTCTTGATAGGCCACGGGCATTATAATAATAGTCTGTACATATGATATAGTGTTCAAAACCGAATAAGCATATCTCTGCGGCAGTCCTACCACAGTCCTACCACGAGTACGAGTCCAAGAGGTAATGAGAGCATTCGTCGTCTCTGCGAGTACTCCGTAGACAGGGTACGTCGTATATCCCGGTCGTCGCTAGACTCGACAGGACAAGAGGACCAATCCACCCAGGGTCACGCTCCAGGTCACGCTCCAGGTCAACTGAGCGTCTCTCTCGAGACTGGGGAGAGAGGCCTGGACGGGGAGGGAGGGGGGGGGGGGGGGTCATTGCTGGTATTAACTTGTTGGGTATGCTGGTTACAAGGGGGCTGTGCCCTCCTCCCCCCCTGTAGGCTTAGCCCCCAGCGTTGTCCGCAGTCGAGAGTCACCCCCGCCTAAGACCACCTAAGATGTACAGATCATGCTGCGAAACGTAATCTGTACTCTGTATTGATTGCGCGGGCTTATGTAATCTGCACGGGGTATCATTGTCATGTAATGGCAGCCAACTATGCAATAATAACCGAACCTGCTGCAGCGCAACAGTCACTTGACTTTCTGCTGACTCCAGACAATCGGCCCAGCACCTCTGCGCTTACATGTAAACCGTAATCTGCAGTCTGCACTCGTATCGGTACGGAGTCGGAGAGAGTACGGATTACAGATTGCAGTGTACTGATCCGTATGCTTTGCAGCCCATCATGCAATGTTGTGTAGTGTATTGCAGAATTACAGATTATACATGTATATATACTATATACAGATCATATATACACAACACATATATACGGAGTATACGGATTACATGTACGGATTTACACCTACATGCAACCTGTACAGTGATCCACAGGTACCTCCCTACCTACCAACCTCGCTAGCCAGTGCTAGCGCTGTTCCCCGCGCCGTAGAGCAAGTTGCATGCGGGCGGCCTCACCTCACTGCGAATTGCTATCGCCGAGCTGTACGTATCGTTACGAAAAAAGAAAAAAAAGAAAAAAAAGAAAGAGAGAAAAAAAATCTTTCTTACACCGCTGGGTCATATGGTTGACGACTGATCGTGCATGACTGACGGAAACCCGGGAACCACCATGCAAGTGGAATAGAACGGATGGAACCCACGACCTCCTCCCTCCCTCTCCCTCTCCCCCCCTCTCTCTCTTCTCGGCACCACACCTCTGAGGCAGACAGAGTCTCAAGGCCACATGTTTTTGTGGATGACAATGCCTACCCTTAATCCCTTAATATATACGTTGATGCCATGTGTTTTATCTCTCTCTGTCTCTCTCTCTCTCTCTTCTTATTCGTCTACTCTATTCAATCACCTTGTCATTATTCTTCTTCTATATATCAACTCCTCCTCTATAACGTATGTAGAGGGGAGAGAGAATAGAGCTTCAAACTTCAACTTTTCAGCGATACAGACATCCACTGTAATACTCCCCCCCCCCCCCCCCCCCCCCCCCCCCCCCCCCCCCCCCCCCCCCCACCCACAAGGTATCAATACTTGATACCTTACAAGTACGAGTGAGTAATACAATAATAGCACTGCCACTGTCTGTACTCATCTCTCTCTCTCACTCTCACTCTCTCACTCTTACTCTCTCTCTCTTACTCTCAACACTGATGACGACGCTTTTCCTTGGCTCCCGAGTCTGACGAGTCACGGACTCAACATCATCCGAGGAAGGGCTGAAGCGGTTTAAAAAAAAAAAAAAAGTGTCATATCCTTCTCCCCCCCCMCAACCCCCCCCCCCCCTCCCCCTGCAAACCATGACTGAATCGACGTGATGCAACAACCAACAACCCCAGCTACAGCAGAGCTACATCAGAAATAGAGAGAGGGGGGGAGGGAGAGAGAGTGTGCATGTGTATGAGAGAGAAAAGAAGCTTAAATATCTACTCGCTTCAATTCTTGAAACATCAGAGATCCCGGACTGAGCCCCCCCTTGGCCACGTCTCCCCTCCCTGCATATCGGATGTACAGGCCTCCTTCTCCAGACTTCTCTCTCACCTCTCAACCCACCCCAACCCCCAAACTGTAATACGAAGTGCCGAGTATTACCTGTCTTGGATTCTTCTCAAAACTCCGTTCAAAAGCGGAGTTTGTGCATGCAATATAATACGAGTTGAAAAAAAAAAAAAGGTGGAAAAAAAAAGGCACTAAAAAAAAATTAACCCTCCATACGTGTACGAGTACTGAAGCGTGTACAGCTCCGAGCTGACCTCGCTACGCTCGTACTTCCCCTCTTCAACCTGTTGGTGTTTCGGTGGCGTGGTATCGCTTCTCTGCTCTATTTGCCTCCGGCGGCCCTACCGGGGGTTGACCTCGCTGCGCTCGCAGTTCCTTCTCTCTCTATTTTTTTTTTGAATCTCGACATCGTAGTGGCGTGGTGCTGCTCTTCTCGACATCGTCTACGGATTGGTTATAGTAGCATCCTACATATTTGCCTCCGACGAAACCCTGCCGGGGCCTGGCCTCGCTTCCTCCTACTTCCTTCTGGGCATCAAGACCAGACTACGTGTATTCTCGAAAAAAAGGTAGGTAGGGATTTATTAGTTTGCACAGAACTATATGTTTATATATATACACAATATATATATAAAGACGGGATCTTCTTCTCACGTTTTTATTTATTTATATATTCGTTTGTTCATATTGCTTGATTATTATCCAGATCAACCTATTTAACAAACCAAGAAGAGACAAGAAGAGAAATAAAAAACTCCCATGATAACGCTTAGGCCTTCTTCTCGGCATGTACAGTTGCGATGATCTTGGATACAATCGACGGGTCGGAGAGCTGCACAAGTCAGTACATCTCGAGAGATAGGGGAGATTAGGGGGGGGGGGGGGACGTACCGTAGTGATGTCACCGAGTTGATCCTCCTCGCCGGCAAGGATCTTCCTGAGGATGCGACGCATGATCTTGCCGCTGCGCGTCTTGGGCAGGTCGGGGACGACGTGGACGGCCTTGGGAGCGGCGAACGGACCGATGCTCTTGCGGACCTGCATGATGAACTCCTTGCGCAGCGCGTCCGAGACCTCGTTACCGTCCTTGAGGGCCACGAAGGCGTTGACGGCCTGACCCGTCAGCTCGTCGGCCACGCCGACCACGGCCGCCTCGGCGATGGCGTTGTGCTCGATCAGGGCCGCCTCGATCTCGGCCGTCGACAGGCGGTGGCCGCTCACGTTGACCACGTCGTCGACGCGGCCGCGGATCCAGTAGAATCCCTCGTGGTCGCGACCCGCACCATCTCCGGTGAACTGTCATCGTTTGCTGCTGTCAGTACAGATGTAGAAGAGGGGAGGGGGGAGGGCCGCCGAGACTTACGTAGTATCCCTTGTACACGTTCAGATACGTATCCATGTACCGCTTGTGAGCTCCATACACGGTACGAGCCATGCTAGGCCACGGCTGCTTGAACGCCAACACACCCTCGACGTCGTTGCCGTGAAGCTCCTCTCCCGAGACGGGGTCGACGATGGCGGGCTCGATGCCGAAGAAGGGAAGGGAAGCACTGCCCGGCTTGGTGGGGGTGACTCCGGCGAGGGGGCAGATGACGTTGGAGCCGGTCTCGGTTTGCCAGTAGGTCTGTTTCCCCCCCCCCCTCAGGTCAGCATACGGGGTACTTTTTATGGCGAGTACCCAACAGAGAGAGAGAGAGAGAGAGAGAGAGAGAGATTGAAAAAAAAAAAAAGAAAACGTACATCGACAACGTGTGCCTCCTCCTTGCCAACAATCTCAAAGTACCACTTCCAGATCTCGGCGGCGATGGGCTCACCCACGGAACCGAGGACACGGAGATGCTTCATCTGGTGCTTGACGTGGTGGTCACCGGCGCGTTTGAGGAGACGGAGGGCGGTGGGGGCGACGTAGAACTGGGTGACCTTGTGCTTCTCGACAATGTCCCAGTAGCGCGAGAAGTCGGGGTAGGCCGGGGTGCCCTCGAAGACGACGGTGGTGACGCCGAGCAGGAGGGGCGCGTAGACGACGTAGGTGTGGCCGGTGATCCAGCCGACGTCGCCTCCGCAGAAGAAGCGGTCGCCGTCGTGGATGTCGAAGACGTACTTGCCCGTCATGGCGGCGCCCAGCAGGTAGCCGGCCGTGGTGTGCAGGACGCCCTTGGGCTTGCCGGTGGAGCCCGAGGTGTAGAGCAGGAAGAGGGGGTCCTCGGAGCTGACGGGGACCGGGGGGAAGTAGGCGGGCCACTTGTCGACCTCGTCGTGCCACCAGATGTCGCGGCCCTCGGTCCAGGGTATCTCTGCGCCGGTGCGCCTGTAGACGAGGCAGTGGGTGACGTCGGGGCACTGCTTGAGGGCGTCGTCGACGATCTTCTTGGTGCCGATGAGCTTGCCGCCGCGCTTGCCCTCGTCGGTGGTGATGACGACGCGGGAGCGGGCGTCGATGACGCGGTCGCGCAGGGAGTCGGCCGAGAAGCCGGCGAAGACGACCGAGTGGACGGCGCCGATGCGGATGCAGGCCAGGATGGCGACGATGGCCTCGGGTATCATGGGCATGTAGATGGCGACGGTGTCACCCTTGCCGACGCCCATCTGGCGCAGGGTCCAGGCCGTCTTGGAGACATCGCGCAGCAGCTCGCCGTACGTCACGTTGCGGCCGTCGGCGGGCTCGTCGGCCTCGTAGATGATGGCGACGCGCGACGGGTCCTTGATGGCGTGGCGGTCGACGCAGTTGTAGGATCCGTTGAGCTGGCCCTCGAGGAACCAGGCCGTGTCTCCGCTCTCGAGGGTGCCGTAGCGCGTCGTCGAGAAGTCGCGGTCCCACGAGAGAACGTCGCGCGCCTGCCGCGCCCAAAACTTTTCCGGCTCCGTTATCGACTCCTTGTACAGCTTCTGGTATTCGTCGAGGCCTGTTGTCGGGTGCAAGGTTGCCCCATTGGTCAGTCATGGAGCTCTCTCTCAATGCCTCTCCCCACTCCCCAAAAAAACTCATCGCCGTCTTCGGAGGGGCCAAGCTTTGGGGAGGGGGGCGAGGGGCAGAGGGTGGTAAGAAAAAATTTATTTAGTATTACTCACTGGAAAGATGGGGCTTGCTAGGGTGCTCTGTTGAGAGAGAGAGAGAGGGGGGAGGGAAGAGAGGAGTCAGTAAGTAGAAAGAAGAAGAGAATCGCACGGATTCGTTACGACGTAGGGAGATTCAGTAGGAGGAAAAAAGGGTAGTAATTGGCATACTGGCAAGCATCTTCTCCGGAGGGTCTAGAAAAGAAGTACAGGTTAGTCAACAGAGCTTCAACGAAAGAAAAAGGGACTCGTGGGGGGGGAGCTAGAGTTGGGAAGAGCTCCCTCTTCGCAGACCACTGCACAGGTCACTGCACAGCAGACGGAGAAGCGTGAGAGGGAGAGAGAGGGGGGGGGGAGGAGAAAAACAGAGGCAGAGATGGAGAGAAGACTGACGGAATGTGTCGACGCCATGAGCCTCGGTGACGACCTTGGCCAGAGACTTGATGGCTTCCATGATAGGACGTTGCGTAGCAAAGTTGGCAGTTATGACCGTTGGTAAGAGAAGAGGTTGAAGAAGGTGGGATGACGGTAAGATTAATACGGGACACAGGAGCAGTAATCTGTTGGTCCTTTGGAGGGGACAGCAGGGACGATAGGGACGATAAAGGATCCGTAGAGGGGTCCTCCGGTTTGAGCGCGTCTTGTTGAGAGTTGCGGGGTATCGCCGCTGATTCTACTATGGGTACGTGCGATTTGGTGGGTAAGTTGGTGGGGGGGGGGGTTGGTTAAGTATAGGGTGAGAAGGGTGAGGGTGATGACGATGCAGAACAGCAACCAGGTGTAAGAGGAATAAGATAGAGAAGAGAGGGATCGAGGGCGGACGGGGAGAGGGGGGAGGGGGAGGCTATTTGATGAAGATGAAGAATTAATAGAATAAAGGGAAAGGGAAAAAAAAAGAAGGAGAAAAGAAGGAGAAGAAAAGGAAGGACCCGAGTCTCAGGGAAGAGGACCGAACATGGTCTTTATGGATTGCGTCAAGTGGGACAGTGACTTTTCTTCTCACCACTACTACCTCTCACCCCCCTCTCCCCCCCCCCCCCCAAAAAAAAGGAGCTGGTATGTACATACACAAACATGTACGTAGTATGGACTCTTGCCTACGTCGGGTACTCATGTGTACGGATCTTATCATACATGTACAGCTGCCTCTGCTTAGCTATTGCTGTCCAGACAGTGGGTGATACATCTTTTTTTCTCCTTCTTAGGGTGGGGAAAGACGCGTTAGGGGACGAGTTATTACGGAGTTTCCTGGCTATCAAGAAAAAGAAGACCCATGATTGCGGCCCATGATTGCCGGGGCGCAACGAGTAACCACGGGAAGAAGAGAAGAGACACCGGGGGTGGGGGGAACACGCAAAGAGGGGGGGGGAGAGGGGAGAGAGAGATAGGCCGAGAACCGGCACAGAGTCGAACATGATGCTCAGAAGGGAGAGCCAGAGTCAGCCCCCCCCTCCCCCTTCCCGGGCCGGAGGAGCAATGACGATATATTATCTATTACTACCGGTACTGCCGCTCACCACCACCAACCACCGCTACTGTTATTACGATGTGCCACCTGTAACTACCTGTACGGTTTTAGTACATGTACATGTATACGGATATGCAGTCTATCGCTAGGGTACACCATAGAAGGCTCAGCGAGCAATCCCCAGAATCCAACCAGCCTCTCACATTACACAGAGTAAGCCGGGGTAAGCTGTATGTATGTATGTGTGTGTGTGTGTGTGTGTGTGGCAAGTGTGCCTCGAGAAAGGGGGGGGGGGGGGGGGGAGAGGGGTTCGCCCTTGGCACATCGTTCTTCTTCGAGAATATATGTGTGTACATCTTTTACCAGCAAACCCATCACCCTGAATTCTCCTGTGCTGATGTCTCCCAACCCGCCGTACCGCAATACCCCCCATCCTTTCCCCCGAACGCTATTGGACCCGATCATACCTCTACCAAGACCCTAGCCGTCCTCCCTGTTTTCCCGTCGACCGAGCGAATTGCCGTCCGTCCCCGTGCACCCACCGGTTCATCCGCTCCCGTCGGTCGTGTGGAAGTCACTCTTTTCTTTCTTTCTTTTTCTCTCTCTTCTTCCTCCCAGCACTTTTTACTCTATTACCATCGTGTACTTACTGCTACGGGTAGTATCCTTCATTCTTCATTCCTGGCTCGACAGTTTGCTCGTGCTTCGTACAGCATCTCCCCCTCCCCCCCTTTTTCGGGAAGGAGTGTTTTGACAGTGACGGCTATCTTCCGAGCCGTTCAATCGGCCGCATCCCGAGATCAATGACGGGGCCATACTCGGTTCCGGCAAGCCGACAGGGCGAGAGAGAATTGTGAGAACAGTAATAGTATATGACGATGTATTGGGGGACTACCTGTCCCCTCAATCCCATACCATTCGAAATTATCAAGAGAAATGTTGCCTCCCCCGATATGTTCATTATAACAAGGAGTATGATGTACCTCCAGAGTAAGCGATATTAAATCTCGTCCTCCGTCAACTTCATGCTGAAACAAAACAAAAGAAACATGAAAAGTGATGCAACCAGCCCCAATGCCCCTCTCTCTTCTTCCCCGCATCCGCATCCGTCTTGGTAATACATTCAACGGCAATTGGCCATTGCAAATTAGGGGGGGGGGGGAAAAGGGAAGGAAAAAAAAAAACACCTTGGGGTTGTCCCACAGACTCTGTCTGACCTTGCCCAATCTGGTAATACCGCACCTTCACCCCGCTTTCCATGGATCCGGTTCACCCAAGTAAAAGATTGTCTTCATCAATGCCAGCAATAACAGGTAAGAATTAAATCCCTCCCTCAGAGAGAGTACTCTTCCTTTCCCTCCGTTCTATTATCAGAATAACTCTAATACCTTCTTCTTCCAGAGATGCATATGAACATGAACCAATCAATGCGGGTTGGCGCCACGGGCTCGTGTATCTATCTGCCCCAAACCTGCGACCTCTACGTTTCGTGCCTCCCATTTCCGAGACGATGCCTCGCCCTGCTTTATAGTCCTACGTCTACATATAGCAGCTATATCACTCAACGGATGACTGCTATGGAACACACATCGTCCGCGCCATTCTCCATACCGACGCTCCCATGACGTCGCGACGTTGCGAGTCTGCCGGCGCGCCCCCCACCCCTACCCTCCAGGAGATTAAGAAGTCGACGAGAAGCCCTGCTGTCTTCGGAACCCTCTGCCCGACGGACCGTTTTCAATACACGGCGGATTGTCGTGAAGCATGGGTCCCTCGTCTCTGAGAATGAGGGACACGCTCTATCGCTACTAGAGGCTAAGGCTAGCAGCGTGCCCGCACCCCTGCTATACGCCATGTACCGCGAGGACGGGAGCCCTCCTTCATCGTTATGGAGCCCATGTCCGGGCAGCAGCTGAGCGAAGGTATGGGACTCCCTATCGGAAAATAACAAAGGGGCTCATCGTCAGCCAGTTGGGGCAGGCGTGCGGCAGCTTCCGAGACGTACCCTCGCCTAGAAGATTCGCCTCGGTATGAGCACACGCGCTGCTTTACGTACCCTTGCTAGGGCGACGACTGGGGAGAGGGAGATTGAAGCCATCCTAGACCGGCGTGTTTGATGAGACGGCTATTATGAGAATGCTTGGCCATCACCTGGATCAGTCATAGGTTTTTTTTTCATATGCACATATATCTGCACGCGTCGTCTCTGGCGGTGATGTGCGTGCTTTTCCTGCCCATCCGTCAATCTTTCCTCCGAGAACTCTGGACGCAGCCCCGTCAGCTGTAGACTCCACCACCAGTATCTGGCGAGGGAGAGGCGCACGAGACCACCCTGGATAGGTATGTGCTGGTGAGTGGAACGGTGCACATGATGCCACACACGGCCCTGACCAGAAGCAGGTTTCCGCCGTCAGCAAGGGCCGCGGACTCCCCCACGCGTGGCCCGAGGCTGGGACGGCAGTCGGCTATGACGGTGTGGCTGGACGGTCTGAGTGTGGCCGCACGGCGTGTTCTTGTGCAATGTTCCCTTTGTTGTTCAGCTCTACCTGTCATTCAGATACCTCTTCTTCCTGCGCGCCCCGATGCCTCGGACGTGGTCTTGCTGGTGTCGACCTCGAACGTCTGCATGGTCGGACTCGACGCGAGTAATGATATAGGCGTAGACGATAATCCCGTTAGCGGCACTAAGACTCCGGTTCTGGTAATCCATGCTCGTCGCTGTTAGCCCCAAGACTACGCACATGATTAGAGAACGGTCTCGATATCGGTACGTATACGGAGCATTGCCGTTGCTGGTGGGTCAAGACGGTGAGAGGTAGAGAAGGGGCGGGCGGGGGTTTGATCTCCGCCATTTTTGGAGGCAGATGCCGCCCATGAAAGAGGCGGACATCAGACAGCTTTGTCAGGGCTTGACGGGACCCCGTATTCTCCACCAGCTAGTGGGGGTCGTATGTGGGAGCTCGTGTGGTCCCGTCAAGTTCTGGCAGAGAAAGAAAGGTACCGTGTCTTTCATCATTGCCAGTATCGCCATTTGCTTGACGTTCGGCGTTGATCTACATCTCCTCTCCTCTCTCTCTCTCCCTCTCTCCCTCTCCCTCTCTCTCTCTTTGGCCCCGACACTTGACCCACGTGTCAAAAAATGCAAGGTAATACGTAGCACCGTCGTACTCGACCAGATGGATGGGCATGCAGATCCAGTCAGATGATGGTCAAACTCCGGCCCATCCAGGGGCTGTGCCCACCTGTCCGCCTCGGAAGTATTACCTTTGTGGAATATCGTTTTTTTTCTGGGATGGCGTACAAGCTTGTCCATCCCCCGCATGCCAAGATATCACGCCAAGCAGCTGGATCAGATGCTTTGACGGATGGATAGAGCCCGAGGGAAGCAATGTACGAGTACATGGTAGTATTCAGGGTTGACAAGGCTAATTGTACCTACACATGCCGAGTCCTTCCTTTAATGGTAACACTTTTTTGTTCTTTTATTTTTATTTATTTTTATTTTTTGTTTGTTTGTTTCCTGTTACATTTCTGAAGAGTCCATTGAATGTTCTATCACACGCCAAAAAATGCCAAAATAGATGGATTAAAAAAAAGAAAGACACCAGGCAGAATGATATGAGCTTGCCTTGTTTGAAGCAGTTGTGACCATCCCTACATATCCATACTCATAAGGTACATCTCGTAGATCCTCATAAACTTGGCCACAAAAGCCTCGAGGTGGAAAATCACCTTGGTCCCCGTCTTGATGCGATGTTCGTAAAAGGCAGACCACTGAATCACCTCGCCCTTGAGGGGGTCGTCAATCATGTGGAGCAGCTTAAACGTGAGCGTCTTGAGGATCGTCGTCGGGGGGATGCAGTGCGTCAGCAGGTCGTACAGCTTGGCTCGGACCTGGAGGATGCGGGCCGGTGTGTGCTCCTCGATAATCTCCTTGGCGACGTGACCGATGAGGGCTTCCCAGTCTGCTGGGGGGATGGGAGTGTCGTCGGATATTTTTTCGCTTGACACATCAGTCAGCTTGGGTTCGTTCCCAGAAGGAGAGTTATGATAGGGAGAAAAAAAAAGGGGGGGATGGGATGGGATGGGATGGGATGGCAGGACGTCACATATATAAAGCAACAAAGAAAGAGGGCAAAACATAGGGGGAAAAAAAAAACTAGGAAACAACATACTTCTGTGCATGAACAGCCTCATACATGAGCAGAGCCCTCCTCAGATTCCTCCCGCTGTCCCTGGCTATCCTGCGATTCAAGCCCTCGGAGATGTCCCACCCTTGCTTCCTGGCCGACTGGGCCAGGACGCTGCAGATGTCGTCGTGCGTCGGGGCCGCGACCCTGACGAGCAGGGTGCGCGAGCGGATGGGAGCGATGATGTTGGCCGTCGAGTTGGCCAGCAGGATGAGCCGCAGGTTGGGCGAGTACTTCTCCATGGTGCGGCGGAGGGCGGCCTGAGCATCGCGCGTCAGGTGGTCGGCCTCGTTGATCACCACCACCTTGAAGCGCTGCCGGGCCGACTGGTCCACCTGCTGCGTCTGGGCCACCTCCTTGAGCAGGTCCTGCACCACCACCCGGTCGTAGTTGCCCACGTCCGACGGCGTGATCTCCAGGTGGTAGATGGACGCGACGATGTTGAACTCGAGCTTGCGGTTGCTCGACGTCTGGAAGACGCGAGCGTCAATCTTGATCTTCTCCACGCCCGGCCCGTAGAGCTCCTTGAGCGTCGCCACGATGCGCGTCTTCTTCCCCGCTCCCGACGGCCCGTACACTAGGAGGTGGGGGAAGTCGCCGCTCTGGGCCTGCGCATTTTTTTCGGGGTTCGTCAGTCAGTTGACAGGAAATCTTGAGGACAGAGAAACGTGCTGCTGGCATGTCTTCTGTCCGCCGACAGAGTGAAGCCTTCACGTACCAGTGACCGGAGTCGATCCGATAGCTCAGGGTGGTATGTCAACGAGTCCAGCGATCGAGGTCTGTGCTTGTCGACAATCAGCGCCATTTCGTCTGTATGTGTGCGTGCTGTAGAAGAGAGGTTGTGTGGTGCTCGATGGGCGGTGGCGACGGTGACGGAGCTGGTCGATACCGAAGCGTTGACTTGTCGTCTGCAGAGTCTTGCGTTGATGGCTCTTCCCAAGTTTTGCGGAAGACGCGTCTGTCGCGTAAAGTGGTGGCAGCTGGATCCTCCCCATTGGCGCACGGACCACTCACCACCCACCACTCATTGCACTCAAGCGACCGCACCATCGGGCTGCGACACTGTCGTGTAGTGTCCAGAAATTGACGTGCCTTGACATGTACCTCAACAAGAAATCAGAACTTTACGGGGACAGAAAGGGTATCCATCGCTTGAAGACCGTGTGTTTCACGGATTCTCCTATTCCTGCTTTATCTGTAAGGCGGGGGAGAGCAGCAAAGACCTAGCAAGTTCACGTCCCAGAGGCTGGTTCTCCGTCGCCTGACGGTAATATATAGTGGTATTCGCAGTTATTACACAGGCACAAGACCTGATAGTGTACATGGCCGGACCATGTGGTCTATACGTTCTGAGCCTGCCCTCCTTCACTTGGACTTGGAAGCCTCGGCCTCGCTTGCGGGCTCCGTGACCGACGTGGTCTCCGGCGACGTCTCAACCAGCTCGGCGGGCGCAGCCTGCCTTCTCGGCCTCTTGAGCTCCTCGAGTGTCACTCCGTTGAGTTTGGTGATTCCGACGACGGGGGCGTCTCCCTTCTTGGCAAACTCCCACTGACCGGGGAGCTTGTTCCCGGCTAGCCGGAAGGCATCTCTCACGATAGCCTCGTGGACCTTGCCGCGAATCTCGAACAGGATCTGGCTCACGGCCATTCTCGTAGCCCAATGGTCAAACGAACCCTTTCCCTTACCCATACGCATCTTATCAAACAAGACCCATWRKTTTTTTTTTTTTTTTTTTTTTTTTTWAAAAAAAAARRA